ATGCATTATTTGTATACTCATACTTGCACGTATTATAAATGAACATAAGTTTAAATGTCACCTGTGATAACATCTTTAAAATGTGCAAAAGTAATAAATAAGCCATTTAAATTGCTGAAACAGTTATTTTTAAGTGTGGAAATTTAGATTTTTCATATGAAAATCTTCTTTGAAGATATAATATAAAGATTTTCTCCCAAAAACACTAAAAGACTATTATTTTTTGAAGAAAAACAGTTATTTGACTAAATATCCCAGTTTTGCTCTATATTTTTAATAATTAAAACATTAGAATTTGATGTAAGAACAAATTCCCATGAAAAGATGTTGAAAACTTGCATGATTACAACCATCGCAACGGTCTAATTAATTTTAATTATAAAAAATAACTTCACTTTGGAATCGCACCACCATTACCGCTAACCAAGCAGCAGCAGCTTGAAACTGTGAAACCAAGAAGCAAAAACAAAAACATTCCATCATTGCACGCACACGTTGTGCAGTGTACACACGAAAACACACACACGCTGTGAATTTACTACATACCCCATTACTTTACCATATACCTACATTACTACGCTCGTTAATTGCGTGTTAATTAAGCGCCGGCGAATAATTGCGCAAAAATTCCGCTCGCCTTGCCTTCGATTTCACGAAGCATCAATATTTACACATGATTACAAACAAATATAAAAATATTCCATTTAAAAAATTGATTCATTTATCAATTTTCGTACGAAAATAAGTATTTTATCTAAGATAAAATATGCGAGATAAAATTTCAGTTGAAAAGATAATATTTTAAAATTAATAGAGCACAAAGTTAACTAGGTAACTCCGATTAAGATTTAATAATGCTCTTCTCTGTTGTATAGTGAAGAATTGAGATACAATTTTCTTAATCAAATTTAATTATATGAAATTATTATAATAATCCGGCGTTCTGCATAACAAAGTTATGAACATGAACAATGATTCTACTCGTCTTCGTTTGCGTTTGCTTTCGTGTGAAATCAGAAACAAAAGGCTGGTAATAACACGAAACCAATTTGGCGTCCTTCCTTTTAACTCATTTTTGTTCCATCATCTTCTGCCATCTGTTCATGTGTGCTCGATTTTCTAGCAATAACATCATTTTAGCGCACAATCGTCGTTCGCGTTCTCATTCTCAATGTTCGAATGTTGTTTTACATTTGTAGTTGTTGCACACATACACCACACTCTCGCATGAGAGTGTAATCTGTAGTAATCTATCTTCGTCGGCATTGCGTACTTTCAAAGATGAAGAAGATGTGGAGGAAGACATGCGTTTGTTGCTTATGTTTTCCTATACAATTTACATTTGCTTGAAATGTGAATGTAGCGAACATTTCACTCATCATGCGATTTTCCTGTGCGGTAGATGCAAAGCTTTCTGTGCTTCGCATGTTAATATTGAATCGTTATGCATAAATTCGTCGGTGAAAGTTGCATCTTTCCGCGTTAGAAATTAATTTTTATTACGAATTATTAAAATAAAACTTAAAACAACATAAGTTAATTATAAGTAGCTTTAACTGCTTGGGAGCGGTTCGTTATTATATTAAAGAGATTGTTTATAATATAAACCACGTTTGTTTAAATTCAAATTCTTTTTTTTATCAATGAAAGAGCTATAATATCATGTGGCGTCATTGGTACGTGTTGAATTGAAATGTTTGGGGATTCTTTGTTATTTCCGAAGGTCACAATGCAGGTTTTTCCAATAAATTCGCAGTTTTTTCCCAAATAACTTCAGAGTGATAAATCAATCAGGCAGCCAAATAATATACATAATATTTGGATATATTTTTTCTTTTATCAGCTGATAAACATTGTAACCTTTTGTTCATCAATGAATGTTTTTTTTTTCATGAAAATTCCTAAATAAACCAAATATTCAAAGCGCAAATTTCGGCATTCTTTGATTAAATAAACTGAATCATACAATACTTATATTGCAAATGTAAGTATAGTCATTAATTGATTACTTTTTTAACAAAAGTCAATTTTAATCAAAATACTTGAAATCAGTTGCCACCTATTAACTTAATTAAAAAGTTAAATATACTAATTTTAAGCAAAAAATTGTACCTACAAAGAAATGAGATATTTAAGTGTGTAAAAAACAAAATAAAGAAAAACAGATAAAAGTACAAATATTTAAAGTAATTAATGACTTACGGGCATATTTCCATGTTTTATCACTTCGAAAAATCCAAAAATTTCAACCACGCATATTTCCAAAAAGTACAACCACTATAATAGACAGAAAATGTATATTCTATTTTTTCACTATTTGTCTAACTCTGACTAAGCACACTTTCACATTAAATACTATCCAATACACTGAATCTTTCTTATCAATTATGTACAGAGCACGACAAGTAATGTCTAGTAAAAGCAACTAATGACGAATAACGATGATTCGTTATAGGTGACGACCGCACACGCAATAAATTAAAACAACGCGACGATTCCCTTCGTATTAAACCGGCGGTCGGAGGCGCACTAAGCTGAATCAGCTACACCCGCTTCAATATTCCAATTGAACGAATTAAACAACGCCAACGAGGTCGCGACGCACCAAAAACAAACATCGACGCTCCAGCATCGCAGCCTCGCTCTCCACAATCGAATCGAACATTTTTATTCGACGCACGAAACAGAGGCGATGTTTATTATAACAACTCAATCCGCGAATCATTATTTAATTTAATTCCGTGAATTTATTGCACACAATGCCGCAAAGTTTTGATAGCGTTCGTTGAAATATCGCACATTGCACATATTTATCACGTTCTGACTGACGTTGAGAGCGGATACGGTAAAGTTTAACGCGTGAATATTTTCGTTTAGTGATTAAACAAATCGTGTGTTAAGTCTGAGTCGTGAGGAAATCCCGTGCGGCGGCGCGGCGCCGAAGACCAAGTGCGTTCACGCCGACAGCTCATAACGCACTGGTTTGGTGCTTTGGTTGTTGTGTTGTTTTGATGTCTGTTATGTTTACGTCGATGTGAAGCGGCGTACAGCTAGGAGAAGAGAGTGTGGATCGCGCGATTCGCGGGAATGTGACTTCGGGTTTGCGAACCATACACGCAACAAAGCACGTGAACGACGCGAAACAATCCGCGATCCATGAGAGTTAAGAGAAGAGAATGTTGCGCGTACAGGCGAGAGGGGAGAGAAGAACAAGCTGGGAACCAGACCAGACATCTAAATTCTCCGCCAAATCATAGATAACACAACGACACAACGCAAGGCAAACGCTGCAAATGGTTGGAATTTAAGTCGAGGCAAAATCGTGATGAATTTACATTCCTTATATGTCATAATGCCAATCTAAGACTTAAAACTCGTTCTATTCGAAATTATTTAAGATAGTAATAATATTACGACTAAAAAAGTGAGTGTTTTAAAAGGCAAGAAATATTTAAAATTATGTGCGTTGGTACAGAATTTAGATAAATATGAAGGTTTAATTCATCATAGCATACTTTTCCTATATTAATGAATTAAATCATCATTTAATAAATTATTTTTTAAATCGTCGTAATACAATTTTATCCTATTTTGTGGAGGAGTAGACCCTAAACACCATCAAAATCTAAAACCTTTAAGTAGAGAGTAGAGGGAATCTAAAGACCTGCGAGAACTCAGGCACGGCTGAGCACTGTCCTCGCAGAACGCTCGCCTTTTGTACCTGCTGACTACCCGAAAAAAGTAGTGGGGGGTAGAGCAAAGGTATACCTAACGAGTAGGACCTCACTGCGCTCAACCGATTATTCCTGCGCAACTTCCCCCACTCCTAATATTTTCAGCACCACTTTGCGCAGGTCGCTGGCACTTATAAAAGGGTAATCCGCAGCAACCACAGTGCTAAGCACCCCTTCAAGTCAAACAGTCATGGTTCCAGCAGTCCAGTCGCTCTAGGACTCCTCTTGGGGCAGTCACATTATGGTTGGCCATAATGTTGTCTATTTTGTCAACAACTCGATATTTCCTACGAAAACTTTTCAAAAGAAAAAAAAATGTAGGCTGGTACTTAAAAGTAGATACAGATACCAATCTACCAACGTAACTACAGACTTCAAAGTGCCGACAAGTCGTGAACGTTTACAAGTTAAATACACCTATGTGTATTTTAAATCTTCACAAATGATACAACATGCTGTTTCACTCTATCTTTCCATTTTCGTATCGAATATCTGCTTGAATATTACTTCACACACTCGAGTCATATTCGTCGATCGTTATGTATGTGTTCACAGCCTAATATTAACAATGATTACACGCACATACGCTGCGCAACTAGCAAGATTCAAGCATTCAGGAATAAACCGCTAGAATTTATAGTATGTGGGTGGCATCATTCTGACCTCACATGTAAATTACGTACCAGAAACACTCGTAATTAGTAATTGATGGTGTTGTTGTTTTGCATGCTTTGTTGTATATTTTTTATAATATTCATTTCTAATATTACTAAAATGTGTGTTGATGTAACGTAAGCGAAAAATCATGTTCATCTAAGCAAATAACTCCAATTCCACGAAAATTGGATGTTGACTGAGCAACAAAAACACCGCAAACATCAAATAATTAATTTTTGTGACATAAAAGAGCAGACAGTTTTTTCTGTAACAGTATTATTATGTTTTGTTGCAGAACACCGCCATTGTTGTTGATGTAAACATATCACCATGTAACAATCATTGTTCCTATAGACACATGAATTGATTCAAACCGAAATTGAACCAATCCCCGCATAAAAAAATGTACAAAACAACATGAACGAGGTCACTTGTTCCATCACACTTCACACGTGATTATATCACATTGTTCACCGCATCAGATAAATACATTTGTCATGTTAGTATGCATTGAATTCCCATTCTTTTTTTCAATTCTACCACGTGCACTAACCATTATTCAAAACCCTACATAAAGCTGATTAGAAAAAAGATAAAAATCTGACTTACCTCTTGTAAATCAAAATGTTCTGTCCTGACATCCGGCTCGCTCTGCGCCAGGGCTACCAATTTCCTTCCAAACAGCGTCAGATCCTTTAAACTTCCACCGAAATCTTCACTAATACTACGTCGGACCTTTCTCCTGTCACCCTCATGGGTTTTTCCATCATCTCTGTAAACTTTCGGCGATAATTTGTACTCGTAGTCAGAATTTGTGTGTTTTCCCACACTGCCTAAGTTATCGCAACTCCCAGCACCGATATGCCATAGTTTTTTCTTCTTCTTAGCGCTCTGTGGTTTCTTAAAAACATCCACATCGAGACTTTTCGAGCTGTGTAGTGATATATTATCGATTGATCCATGAAACACATCAAAGTTCACATCTACAGCACGCTCGGAATAAGGCTCATCCATCACTTCTTCTACTAGTTCTTCTGTTAATTTAATTTTATCTTTATCGGGACTCACTATGTCATTATTTTGCTTGCTTAAAAATGGTTGTACTTTCAAATTTGACGTAGATGGAGGTGTGGCAGTAGTAATAAATGTTTCTTCAGAACTCAACGAATTTTTAATCAAAAGATTTTCGTCCTTGATACACGCACGTATATTATTTATGTGAGTCTTTGCTGGCATGGCACGCACATTGTTTAGATTCGAGCATGATGGCAGAGACGTAGCCGAAGTTTTACTGGGAGAATTAGGTGCGACGTTCTCTAAATTCTCTATATTAATATTTGACGCGATTATATTTACAGGACGACTTGAATTGTTCGGCTGCATGTTGAGATTGCTTGAATGAGCGACTGGGAATTCAACGAGGAGGATTCTGTCACTGACTGTACCACAATCATCGCGGAAACCTATTCCAGAGTCGGAATTACTCGATGCTGAAGGTTGCGGTGAATTCGCTACTGGATCGTCTTGGTTTACAACTGGGCTTTGTAAACGGTACATGTTTTGTACTAAAGATACAATATAGAGAGCATTTCGTGGGAATTCCAAACAATATCCTGAAAATATATAAATATTAGTAATGATTATTTGGTTGCCATCTTGGAAATATTTACCAGTAATGACATCACGTGTGCAAACAATTCGAAAACCTTCCGCTTTTGTTGCATGCACCCCATGCTCGATAATTTTAGGATCTGTTACAAAAACATGACAACTATTCGAAATCTCCACCTCACTCTTCTCTTGGTCAGTGTTGCACTTTCCTCTCTCATCCCATAAGTTAAGATATGAAGTTTCACACTTTTTTTGTACATTTTCCAAACTTCTATCACAAACCGCACTTGTAACAAGTCCGAAGTACCGAGATTCTTTATCGGCTGTTGTACTAATGTAAACTACCCTATTTGTTGGATATATGGCCAGGATATGATTGACTGCATTCTTGAGTGTTAAACAAGTCGGTAAAACAGTCATTAAAACAGCAGTTGGTTTTCGTTTTTCCTGTCTTAACTTTTTAATGCAAGAATTCACTGTTTGAAGGCGTGAATTCGGTGGTAATTGCTTAGGCATTTCAATAGTGCCTAAATATCCAACAATGGCTTTATACTCAATAGGTCCACCTTCATCCTCCATTGGATTACAAACTTGTGCAGAAAAAGCACCATCTGGCACTTCCTCAAAGTCCTTCTTTCGTCGGCGATCCGATGTGTTGAGATTATTGTTGTGTGTGTTATGATTCGGATGTGATTGCGTTTTGTGCACCCTGGGTTTGTGTTTTCTCGTGGTTACTACCCGATTCATATTCAATTCTTCATCGGAACTGTCAGAGTAGTAATGTTCTGCACACGCTATGGTCATCCGGATGGGGCCCATTGCTTTACCGATGAGATTCACGACTGCATCATGTGCGATTTTCGATACGGAAATACCGTTGACGCTGATGAGGCAGTCTCCGGCGCGTAGACCTGCTACGTCCGCCGGGGAGTGCGCCACAATGCAGGAAAGAATGCAGGGTTGCTGGCCGGAGATGGTGAAACCGAAGCCGTTGGGGCCGCGTGCGACTTCAACAGTGCGAAGGCCGTAGTTGGGCCGTTTCTTACGGCGGCGATTTGGATGCATGGCGAACGATGCGCTTTTGTTTACACCCGCGGCTGATAAACGAACCGCACGAGATAATGCGAATACAAAACAAAACACGCACGCGAAATAAACGAACGGAACGAAACAAAACAGACCGTGCTAACTGCGCGTCGACGTCACCAGTGATTTCAATTTTCGGTTGGTTTTATGTTCTGTCTTTGTTTTGTACATGAGTTTGTTGCGTACAACGTAGGTGACGTATGAGTAGGATTGACCCACCCGACGCACGCTTGGAATGCGGACCGTTTAAATTCAACTGTAAACTTTCAAAGTATGCAACCCGCTAAACACGAATACGGATTTTCTTGTTTCTTGTTATTTTACCATTGAAATTAATCCGTTAATTCGGTTTACAATGGGCAAATATCTTTATTATCGTAACAATAAATGTTATAATAATAAATATAATTAATAGCAATATTTGTAATCTATGTAGCTAAGCTATCATTTCTGTTCAATGGTTTAACAAGTGATTTGTTTGGTATTTTTTCGTTTCTAGAATCAATTTTCACTTTCACATTTCTGCATTCTACAGATAAACTTGTAATTGGTCAATATTCATTTAAATTTCACTTGTTTTTCTTTACAAATCATGTTTAGTGCTTCATGAATTTAGTTTTCCTCTTCATTCAATATTTAAAGTTTAAAACTTCGTGCATAAAAAGAACAATTTCGCGGAAATCAATTGCTTCGATTGTTTGGAGTTTTGTTTTCTTGAATTCGTACGGAGTATTGCTTCTGTGGCATTTCATAATCTCATTAAAGTGTCCTTTTTGTAATCGTTTCACATGTAATACACCTAACATTTGTGATTACAAAGTTAATAGCTGAGAATAACAGCTGTTTCACTTGCTGCAAGTGCACATTATCATGTAACACATAAGTGTATCCTAATGTTAGTTTTTAAATATATTCATAAAATTTCCTCCGCTTAATATTCTTCAAACTAATCCAAACGCAAATTAAACATAACTAAACTAAACCGAACTAAAATGAGCAAATGTATCAGGGCCGGGCGTAAATAAACGTCACAAATCTACAGAACCTAACAACTAACACCCTGATTCCCCTGATTGGCATGATTGACTCAATAAGCCAAAACAAATAAACTTAATACAACAGATACAAAAATATTTTCGCTTCATACAAAGACTTGAAATTAACTTTTCTCACCATGTGTTTGGCTAATACTAAAAAATCTACAAAAGAAATTCTATAGACCTAACGATAATCGATCGTTTGAAGGAATCGATTCCACTTGAACATGGCTTACAATGTTGGATTACAATAAAAATATCTCCACATATGCGCACAATTGCATGATATAAACGTGCATGCCATTTAAATACAATTAAATACACATACAAGTTGGTTTTGTTTTCTTCACAATCATATAAATATTATGTACTTCTTGCAAAAGTACTGTTTCTTATGCAATAAGTGCTTTTTTTTTCTACATTTACCAAACAGAATATACTATATCATTATATTTTATAGAATAGATATATAATAATATGCATTTTATATGTTTAATATTATATTACAATATGTATTATATATTTTTCTTTCTTTGCTTTTTTGTTTTTCATATTTGTTTATAGCAATATTTGAAATTTCGAGCTTTCAGCTCGAATAATATACTTTGAATATATTTGTTTTTCGATTTTTAAACATTCAATAAATTCTTTTAGATTTTTTGATCATTTTTCTTAAAGTTAAACAAAAACGCCATTTTGAAAAACACAACTCATCGCAACATACAGATTAAAATATATTTACTTCATAAAAATGCCGTCTTCATGCTGTTTGTTTAATTTTTAGTTTATACCAAGAGCCAAAGTTATGTTTATTGTCGATTTCTATGTTCGCCATCTTGTTTTCTGTTTGCTTTAAAGTTCTCTCTTGCTAGTAATGATTTATCTCATCAGATTCGTGTTCTAAAAAGTAAAAAATTTACATTTTGGTGTATGCAATATGTAAGTATCTCGTAAGTTAATGTGAGGTATTCACGTTGTTGTTTGTTTCTGCAACGCATGTGCACTCCGCTTGCATAAATTTCTATCTTCGCCGGCTCGCTATTTATAAACTATTTTCATCATCCTTTCTCCACGATATTAATCACAGGCAATTGCGACGCAAAGTCGCGTTTAATATTATTCGTTATTTTATGTGTTTTTGTTTTTTGATTCCGTCTCCACATTGAGATAGACGCATTCCACTTCCGTCGCATCATCTAAAAATCACCCTAACAATGCAGTGTTCGCATTCTTTTTACATTTGTTTGTTACCTACTCGGCGCCATCTTGAACGCCGCATCTAGATTGTTATAGTAACAACTGTAACATTTTGGCGTTGTTTAACATATGTACGCTGTTACAAGTTCTTTAATATATGTTTTCTCTTTGTTAGCTTCATAAATTTCTCTTGTTTGCACAATAATAAATTGTTTGTTTGTGTGTATGTTACAATATTTTGGTTTACACTATTTAGTTTCTTTTGTTTTTGCATTACATCCAGCTTCGTCTGCTTGTTGTATCGGATGCAAGTTATGTGTGGTTAATTTCACAAATCACAGATATAAATATAATATATATACTCTCTCACATTGCGCTCGACTTTGGTTTCGTGCCGAGCATCATCTCACACGGTTCACAAACATTCACACTCGATAACCACCCTTTCGATATATTACAAGATGTGCTTAATTCATTAGTTCTTTGAGATTTAAACAGCGTGGCCAAATGTTTTCGTACGTTGGACTAGGGCTGTGAAAATAACAGTTTCGTGTTGCTTTTTTATGTGGTGTGTTACAATACTTGTTCAGGTACGCATCTTGGTTGTTATGTACAAATTGTTACTCCCCTATCGTGTCCATTTTGTTTTTTGGTGTCGACGACAAATGCATGTCCTCACATTTACACATTTCTATCTCGCTCCCGGCGTCGTAAAATCTACTTAAATTATCAGAGGATTCGATAACGTTGCTCCCCTCTGTAATGTTTATTAAATTAATTAAATTTAATGCTTGGTAACATTGTTTTATTGCGTGCAGTTGATCAACTTGCAGCGGCAACGTGTTCACGTTTACTGGAATGTATCTGTAAATTGCCTTCTCAACCGATTTTAAAAATATATCTAAACCATTAGGTTTTGGTCAAATGGTTTTGCACTTTGAAGTGTGTTTAAGTGTTTTAGGAATCGACCCGCCTAGTATTTTCAATCTCACATTTCACTGTAGTTGTTTAATTAATACATTATTGGTCGTTTTTTTTGCGTATTTGTTTTCGAAGTGCAATCTGTGTAATCTTAATTAATGGAATTTGATTGCATATTAACGTTATCTATCTCGTTATCTATCCTTCGTTTTGTGTTCACTCCCCGCACGGATTTATACTAGTAGTGTTTCTTTTAGTTTCGATTGTTAACTATTCGTTCGCGCTGTTTTTTAGTTTTGTTAAATGCTCCGCAACTATTATATGCTCTTATTTACAATTCGGACGCCGTTCGTTTTCGCAGTGGACGATTCTCGGCTGGCGGCGTCGTTGAAAATAGATTCTTCTCTGCAGGTACTTTGGTATATGCTTCTCGCTAGTTTCTTCCGATGACATGCAGTTTCGCTAATCGGTTGTGTGTTTGTTTTGCTGCTAGTTTTAATGTTGGCTAGACTTGCTGTGTTAACAATCGTTGCAAATACAGTATCACAGATGTTGTTGCCTTACTCGCTACGTTTTTTTTGTTTTGTTTCTCTTGTTATCGCTTGTGTGTTAATGCGCGAATAAAATACTGGCAAAAGAATGTCTTGCGTTCTAGTAAGTGTAACGTTCGACGTAAGACGAAGTTGTTTCGTTAATAAATGTATCACAATAAAAAAAATGAATATCGTCTGCACTTTTTTTTGCACGCGCCTTTAAAAGTCAAATCATAGCTCTCTTCCTGTAGTAGCTTTAACTTAAAACAACGTTGTCGCGACGCCGTCTCGAATCACAATCAGTTAAAATAATTAAAACGTAATAAAAAATATATGCACGTAGAACAATGCGAATGTTGTGTGTTTAGTATAGTGGGTTGCCTGACCGCGGTGTAACCTAAGTGCGTAGAATTCTATTTAAGATCCGCCAGCAGAAGTGGCATTAAGTACTCGTCCGTGTAGCAGGCCGTCGAGGAAGAATCTACGATCGACGGATGCAACGCTGAGTTGGGCAGCGGCGCCCAGCATCTTCCCAGAACTTGCGAAATGTCCTAAATGTTGGCAACCAACATTACAAATCATTAAAATGACAGATATAACTAAATATTACCTTGGTTATGTTGACTGTTGTATACCCGCAGAGGATAAGATCGGAATTTGCGACCTCTAGACGCCGCATAGTATCGGCACGTAGTTTAGCAATGCCAACATAGTCTTCCTCATAGAACTTGTAACCGATGACGACAAGTTCTTCCAGCTTCTTGCACAACCATGCTAGTATTATGAGTTCCTGAGGTTGTATATCATCAGCTGCCACTTGTCGATTAAGAAATACCTGAGCATCAACATTGGAGAAATTATCCACCCAAATAAGACTCACGAAAGTTTCACGGTACATCGCCAATTTCACCAGAACACTCAAATTCATCTGAAATAGATTTTATATTTGGTTAAGTTATTTGTTGAATTTTAAGGTTATTAAAACTAACCTGCTCACAAAATAGCACCTTCAAATGACTCAACGGCATGTTACCCTTCAACACCTTAGTATGCAAATGTTTCACTTCATCCGTTGAATGTATGCAAGATAATCGCAGAAGACACTCAGGATGTCGTTTTTTAAACTTTAACCAAGCATCCTCGCTAGTGCCGGGATGTTTATCCCAGATACCATGCACATGCACAACAAGCCTTCTCAAATCGTCCACCTCCCGCAACGCATGCAAAACATCATCGCTCAGATTATCGTAATCCAAACTGAAAATTTGCAACCGCCTGAACATCACCAATTGCTTGGCGTCGAGATTTTGCATTAGATAATTGCAGGGATCTTCTTTGACTGTTGCCAGTGCCAATGTTTCGATATTGTCGGCCTTTTTCTGGTCGAGAAGGGCAAGGATATCTGGCAACGATTCAAACAGCTCTTCATTGCAGCCCAGTGTGAGGACATTCAAAGACTGTCGAGTGTAGATGTCAGCGAATACTTTAAAAAGAGAAAACTCTTCAGCGTTGTCTGTGTTTGCTGCTGTCTGCAGCCAACACTCAGGAATCTCGACGGTGCAATGTGATGGCTCGATGTTCAGCGATTTGATGTTGTTACTGCTGGCGAAGCAATTGAATAGATGCAGGAACTCGACAACACACGCGGGGTCGATCGAGTTGAAGCGCACGTTTGCGTGGGTGGCAATGTGACCAGCGCGCGTGCGGAAGTATTGAGCTTTGTCTAGTTGTTTTGGCTCTATCACAAAATTTACTTTTTGCCATTTTCTATAATCAAAATTAATTATAATAAATTTAAAAAAAATAAAAATATGGACTTTTTATTACCTTGGATGATATAAACTCTGTCTCCAGTTGCGGCATGTACTCGAAGCACGAATGCTATCTTCAAAACTAAGATAGTGGAAGATGTCATCGAGTATCACGGCTGGCAGCCGCTCCCAACAGCTGTCCGGGGCCGGCGGATTGCCGCCCACCGTGCATGGTGAAATATCGTCATCGGTTTTGCTCTTTTTGGCTCTGGGACAGTCGTTATGTTGTGAATTCTCATTTCCCATTACTGGCAAAAATTAAACAAACAATTGACAAACGCGTAGAAAAACACAACGCGTTGTTTTAAGAAACATGCGCCTCACACAATCAATAACGGATAAACAAATGAAAGTCACGCGTAAAATATGGTGCGCCTGATAATTTCGGTTGGAATTGCTGCATGTGCAATGGAAATGTCCAAAAATATAAGGATTGTTCGCCATATGGAGACACTCACTCGAAGCGTCATCGCAATTCAAAGGTGAATTGGCACATACACCAGCCGTTATATTACGTGTTGCGCGTTTGTTTTGCACGAAAAACACCAATCGGAATATTGTCCGCGCCTGTGAGCAATACGAGAGTGAAAGTGATTTCTTTTCTACATTTTTTTTTACATCGTATTCAACATGCAACGCTCGTGCATGTTTGTACTGCGTACCGTATTACCACACATACGCGCATGTAAACACGCTGACATTATAAATTTAAATTGCGCTACGCTTATCGGTCAACGGATTGTAACAAAAGACATTCGATATCAAGTTAAACCGCAAGCAACAACAAAAGAACCGCATTGATATCGCATGTTTTTTGTATTAGTAATATGTTTGCGAATAAATTGAGCTGTTAAAGACTTGTTACCTGAATACATTTGCAACGATTCTTGTCGTTTGCCGATGCGCACAATGTCAACTGCATTTATCGCTATCCCTTGATCGCGATTTTCAACACTACGCACCGCACGGTCGAAGAAACAAAAAGAAGTAGCTGTGGTCGCGTTGGTTTTGAGTACAAATTTGCGACTGGAATCGTCGCGCAAAGTGTCTTGTCGTGTAATACCTGTACGTTTTTTGCGTACAAGCTGGCAAGTGCGACTTGAGGAATGAACAGCACGATGGGGACTAGGGCACTGCCGTCAGCGCTGACCACAGCCAGCAGGCGCAGAACGACCGAACAGATGACTGCGAATAGACTGCGACACAACGGGCGTGCGCGTGCGTACAGAAACTTGGAAATATACGCACGCGCAAAAAAACTACAAAACCAAGTGTCACAAATATTTATTCAAGTTATGCAGAAGTTTATTTTATACTTTTGTGGTTATACAAGTAATTATTTAGATATTTGAGTTAATTTTAATTATATAAATCAAATAAACATTTAAAATGTTAATAAAGGTACCTTATTTATATTTTTGCCTCATATTTTATGTAAACATATGTTTATATAAAAGTCAAAATGGCTGACTTTAAGTTAACTTAAGTCTATCGTCAATATTCTGTGTTTACTACTTTACAAGCACAGGATTATTGATGAACGTAGGTTGTATTTTGTGTACATAAACATTAATAATGATTTATGAGTTTATTACTTGCAAGAACAAAAAGTAGCAATGTTTTATATCCAGATTGAAACACCTTAAAAACGCCTCAAGTCTAATATTTTCTAACAATTTATTAGATCACTCGGTGAAAGCACTCAGTCCAACAGAGATAATAACAAGCATGTTATCAACAAGATAGTTAATTAAGTCTCTACGACATTCGATGCGGGCAAAGGACAGTACTTGATCGTGCACAATACTCATCAGAAAATCACGAAAAACGTAAGTAACTTATCGCTAAGCAAAAATATTTAAATCACACTTCTTGAACAAGCACTTTAAAAGATAATATTGGATTTACATCTTATTAATCTATTAAAAAAGTAAAATTAAGTAAAATTATGACTAAAATGCACTTTAACTGAGATTTTCATAGTGTTTATTTGTGTCTATACAAAATAGATTTACTAATCATAATCCTCACCACTTATAACAACAAATAATAACATTATTGGCAAGTCATACACTTGTTTTATCAATTCGTTCAATGGTCAACATCAACAACTTAATATAATACATCAACGCGTTTTTTTGTTCCAGGTTCAGTACATTTCAAGATGTCGTACAAGTAAGTTACTCAGTAAATGAAAATACACACTATTATTGTTGATTATTTAGTTATCGTTACACGGTTGACGGTGGCACGTTCACTGATGATCAGAGGCGCTTTTATGAAGACCATGGATTCATTATGTTCCGCAATCTGGTGCCTCACCACAAGCTGGATGCTTGTCAGAGGCACTTTGTTGACATCTGCGATGGTAAAGTCGACACCGGTATGATGACTATCATGAAAGATGGCAGCTTGAAGAAACGCTCTGATGTTAAAGGCGAATACTTGATTAACAAAGTAAATTTAAATATGTTTATACTTTTATTCAATTTTTTTTAAATATAATTTTAATTGTAGATTCAGGATTGGTTGTTGGACGATGTTCTCTTTGAAAACTATGCGGTTGACGATAGCATAGTCAAAGTTATTCAGAATATTGTGGGGCCAAATGTGACCGCAGCTCATTCGATGTTGATTAACAAACCACCGGATAGCACTGAGGGTTTCTCCAGACATCCGATGCATCAAGATTTACACTACTTCCCGTTCCGCCCGGCGGATCGTATTGCCGCTTCCTGGACTGCCATGGAACGCATTGATGAAGAGAATGGATGTTTGTTTGCCGTGCCTGGTTCACACAAGGCCGGGAAACTTTATCAACATGATTATCCTGAAGTGAATAGTCTCAGGCATGTTATATTCACATAATAAGTTATTGTATTGTCCTAGGATGTGGAAAACAAAGCATATCATGGAGTTAAAGGATTCGATCATATTCCACGCGTGAATTTGATTATGGAAAAGGGTGATACTGTATTTTTCCATCCCATGTTGTTACATGGTTCCGGTCCCAACAAAACTAAAGTATATTTCGTTTATATCTTAATATTATGTGATTTTATTTATTGTCAATTTGGTTTTAGGGATTCAGAAAGGCAATTTCTGTGCATTACGCCGATACGAATTGCCATTTTATTGACGTTCGAGGTACTTCACAGGAGAACATCGCCGTTGAAGTGATGGAACTTGGACAGAAGAAATTTGGAATTAAAGCGTCATTCCAGGATATCTGGAAAGGCAAATCGCGTTTGATTTGCGGTCAGCCGGGTGCTTTCCAAACATTCGACAGTCATTTGTAATCAAAGAAACTGTTATACCATAATAGCATATGTTAAAATGTGGTTTTGTATATTTTATTCTTTTGTTATCACATTTGTATATTATATAACTTGATAAAATGGATTTTTGGATTATAATTATAAATCCTAATATAGGATTTATTTTAAATCAGCGTACAATATTATTTCTATTCTTTAATAAGATATAAGTTATTTTCCTCATGTTTTCATCGTGTTTATTTTGTATAGTGTAAAAGAAATGCTTGTTATTTCCTGTTTGTTATAACATATCACAGTTGAATTACGTGCGCATTCCGTAAAGTTGTTTTTTGTAAAGTGGCGCAAGCAGCGCCCTCACAAAATGGATGCCACATGAAAATACTAAAGCTAACACCGCACCTTGATGACACAAAATTGATAAAACTACCATATTTACATAGTTATCAGCTCAATGAACGCCGGTTTATCTTTATCATGTAAAATGCAATAAAATGATTGCATGTCAAGTAGAACTCACTTGAAATTAAATCACGAAATTTCTGTTATTCACAGGTTAGGCCGTGTGTGACTGCAGCTTTATATAATTTATTATGCTCCGCTTTAAAGATTGCTGGTGTTTGTTTCTGGAAATGTTGTGGCCTGCTGCTGGCAAAAGCAAACTAACAGTGTTCGGGGCGTATTAATTAACCTTTGATGAGTGGAATCACGGCCAGCAGTGCGCAATGACTTGAAGCGTGCGCGTCTCGCCGTTTTATCACGGTCTTAAATCCTAATTGGCGACGCGTCGCCCGACGCGCAATAACAAACCCAACGAGCACGACGCGTCAGGTCCGATAACAGCCTGTGTGCCAGTTCGCCCCATGTAAACAGGACTCTACCCTCATCATCATCCTGCTGTAGTTAAGAAAACAAACAGTCGTCGGCATGGCGGACGGCGATCACGCCAACAGCAGCGAAGACTCAGACACCGATTGCGCCCCACACGAGCTGCAGGGCGTGCTGCACAAGTGGACGAACTACATTCACGGCTGGCAGGATCGCTGGATAGTCCTTACAGCCGGTACGCTCAGCTACTATAAAAGTGAGCAAGAGTCAAATTACGGGTGTCGAGGGGCGCTCACCCTCGCCAAGGCTACAATCAAAGTAAGTCTACTCATACTTTATTCAACTGTCAAAAATATAAACATTATTTTTTTGCAGCCACATGAGTTTGATGAGTGCAGATTTGATGTTTCTGTGAATGATTGTGTCTGGTACTTGCGAGCAGACACTGTTGAAGATAAGCAACACTGGGTGGAAGCACTTGAGTCATATAAAGTGAGTATTTTTAGATTTAACACCTTTTCTGAGTAATAATAATTCTTAGAAGTTTAGTGTCTCATTAAAATCATGTGATTAGAATTGTGTATTTGTGTATGTTAGAAAGCAAAAGTATTCAATTTTAATGAATGCATAGTCAGATATGTCTGTTGTCCTAGTTTTTATTGCCCAAGGCCAAACATCAGATCACAGCCAAAATAATGTTCAAACTGTAATGAGCTCCGCACACGCCACTGGCGGTAATTCAGCTGATTCACGACCTTGAGCGCACGTAACGTCTGCTTTTTTTATGGGAAAAACAAAACAATAATTGGAATAAGTTAAAAATAATCACTTTTATACGGATAGGCAACCAAAATTTCATGCTCAACACTTTTATATTGAACATTTTATTTTAAAACTCACCTAGGCTGAAAGTGGATATGGTACCGGTTCGGAAAACTCTCTACGCCGTCATGGTTCGTCAGTGAGTCTGCAGTCGAATACGTTCAGCACAGCTTCCTCGTCGAGTTTCAAACGCACCGGCAGGAATCTACACGAGAAGTTGGCTGAATTACAAACATTCAAAGACATCCTCGGCGGGCAAATCGACACTCTGCAAAGGTACTTCGATATTTGCGCAGATGCGGATGTTATTACAAAATGCAAAGATGACACTAACGGTGGAAATGATATTTCAACCATTAACAAAGGTATAAATAACAAAACAAGTTGAAAAATACTTAGTTTAAATAACTACCTATTTTAAAATTCAAATTATTTGTTAGATCTGCCAGCAATCGACTTCAAAGGCGAAGCAATCACCTTCCGCACAACAACCGCCGCCGTGCTTGATACGGTCGCGCACTGCGTGGATCTGGTCTCGCAACGCGAAGACTCCTGGCACAAGCGGCTCGATCGCGAGCTCGATCGTCGCCGACGCGTCGAGAACCTGGCCAAGAGTTATCTGGAGCAACTGCAAAAAGTGCACAACGTTCACCCTGGACCTGACCTTGAAGTGAGTCAAATGAACACTATAAACATCCCGATAAAAATAAATGGTGCTAAAATTATTATACAGTTATATTTGCTTTTTGCGCCGACGTCATATGACGATAAATCAATAGAATTATTCATGCGACAAGGGAAAGGGCAACAAGTGGCGGCAACAATCGCGGTACGATGACATGCGAACGTAATCTCTGTGGCGTCTTGTGACATCTCGTAAGCAGTTGTCACCACGTTTTACTATTTAGGTTTTACTCGCACTTCTACACCAGTTATATTGTTCTGTCGCGCGCGCATCCACGCGATTTATTTCTCAAGTTTCCAAAGGGTTGATCGGTGATGTCGAAGACAGCGGGCAGTGGCGACGCGCTGGACTTTCATCGGTTGATCGCGCGTTTCAAGTGTAGCGTCGCACACGTTGCACAATCGCACAAATTTAAATCGTTTAAAAACGTGAGTATTTTTTCCAAGCAACACACTTGTACAATTACGAACGTTAATTTTTGAGCGCGTGCGTAAACTGATATGGAAATATTTTAGTTAAATGTTAAACTGTATCCCACTTTGCGCGTTGCTTATCAATTTTCACATGTGTCGATCACTAAGCGTCGACGTGCTAATGTTAACTTAACTTAAACGGCTAAGTTCGCGGTTAAGTTTAGCTGTTGATTTTTGAAAAAAACTTTCTCATGGCTTCACCACCAACACCAACGTGCGCAAGTTACTAATTTGTGCTTGTGTTGTATAACAAAAAGTGTTGCGTTAAGTTTTTGACGAATTGTCATTCAATGCGCGGCGCAGCAACAACGAAATTTCGAAGACACCCGACGCATGCTTAACATGCTTAATTCACTTCAGTGTGGCTACGATATGGCCGCATCAAATTGAATTAATTAATGCTTACCACAACCGAGTGTACGTCGTGCACTACGCGCTATTGTTGTAGATAGTGTTCTCAAGTGCTCCCTAGTAGACAGACTAGTCACCTGATAAAAATCTTTGTTCGTTTTGAATAATATTATTCTAAGTGACGCTAATTACAGCTGATACAATTGATTATCAAGTGGTACAAATTATCATTGCGCGATGAAATATGTAAAACAGTTTAATTAAACGGTTTGTAAACATTGCAAGCGTTTGTAAACAATTTTAATCGGCCGTCGCACACTACGCACAACACAAGGCTCGCTTTGTTGCGCCGAATGTCTTTGTCTCCATTGTGACGCCGCGATGAGTTGAAAGTTCACCCCGAAAATATGATTAAGTGATTCATGAAGCGCACGCATGCGCATGTGACCGATTCGTGGGCGAACAACGCAATCTGAGACGTGCGATTGCGATTAAGCTACGAATTAAAACTACAACGTTGTGTGTTGCGTCGGAGTATTGTCTCGAGCGATTGGGTGCAAAAGATAAACAAATCGAATGGCACATGTGTTTGCCGTTGTGTGTGTTCAGTTAATTACACCAGTTGCGCGAGTAATCGCTGATTTATTGAGCTCATTAAACCTATCGAAACTAAAATTATGCCTGTAAGTTTAGAATTCGTAAACAAGTTGGTTAATTAAACGCTTTTTGGACTGTATTTTAGGAAGGACCACATAGTGTGATAGCAGATGATGAGTTCTATGATGCGGTGGAGTCTGGTTTGGACAAGATGGAGGAGGAACAGGAGTTGCGCGAGCGGTTGAAGAACGGCCTGGTGCCGATTACACCGCCGCCGATGTCGCCCGCGACGCAACACCGTCTCTGGCCGGAAATTGATCGGCTGGTGAAGCAGCAAGTTGATATGGCACGGTTGGGTGTTGGTGAATGCGGCGCTGGTTGGCAATTGTTTGCTGAAGACGGCGAGATGCGCATGTATCGTCGCGAGGAGGAAGTTGATGGCATGGTGGTCGATCCTCTTAAAGCTGTACACACTGTAAAAGGCATCACAGGACATGAACTGTGTCACTTCTTTTTTAATCCACAGTATAGATATGATTGGGAAAGTGAGTTGCGCAAAATATTCTCGAATTAAACTTTAATTTATGATTGTTTGTTTTTTTTATAGCAACATTAGAAAATATGACTGTATTGGAAACGATAGCAGACGATACGCTGCAGTTTTATCAAGTGCACAAACGGATATGGCCGGCGAGCCAGCGTGAATCTTTATTCTGGTCACACATGCGACGCTTTCCCAACGATCAGGACAGAGACGGGCCTGATATGTGGGCTGTCGTTAACAATTCCACTGAACACCCCACTCATCCAGTAAGTTGATAATTTATTTCACAACATTACACAAAGATTTTAAATATTTCTATTATTTTTAGTTAAATAGCGGTAAATGTGTGCGGATATTCCTGACGGTTTGCCTACTCTGCCAGACACGCATCGATCCACCAAAGGATGGCGCAGCAATTACGCGTGACAATGTCACGTGCAAAATCACGTATTGCTCTGTGGGTAAGTTGCGGCAATTTCATGTCCAAATATGCCGGTGTTAATGTTACTTTCCTTTTTAGTAAATCCCGGTGGTTGGGCGCCAGCGTCCGTTCTGCGCGCGGTTTACAAACGCGAATATCCCAAGTTTTTAAAACGCTTCACGGCGTTCGTCATCAGCCAGACGAAGGACAAGCCGATCATGTTCTAGCAGCGGTCGCCGGACTAAGCTAAAGCTAGTGATAACGCACGGTGCGATACACGCGGTTGCAAAACCGTCAAGAAACAAGCGTACAAGCGTTGCAGTCAGGTAGTATTTTAGCGGGCGATTCATATTCTCTTAAACAAAGCAGAAAACACAGATAATGCGTTTATAATAAAATATTTTTTAAAACTTTTTAAAAACCTACCGGTAAGTTACAGTTACGGATATATGGAAAGTTTGAACTTTTTTCTCTTTTTTTTTGTAAAGAAGTTTTAAGCGCGCATAGAATTATTGCTATTTAAAGATTGTTGTATTTGTATTGTTCCATCCGTTATGTTACACGTTACACTTTTTATTTCTAGTTTGTAAGTTTCTAAGTTTGTGATGTAATGTGTGTTGCTGCCCGAAGGGAACAGAGGTGCGCGGATTTGAGGTTACAAATTGACTGCGAAGCAGGCTGGAAATTGTACAAAAATGTTTGTTGATGAATTTCAATATATTAATCACATGTTACTGTAAATTGCGCTGCGATACGCTCCGCGATGCAAGCGGATGAAGTCTATGTGAATGTGAAGTTGCCTTGATTAACGATAATTCCTTGGAGAGTCAACTAATTAACAAATCTACTAAAGTCTACTTACTAAACGCAAACTAAAAAGAAAACTCTTATACTTATACTAAACTACCAGTACACGCGCTGACTAATCGTATTTTTGACTTTTGTGATCATTGCATTGCGTACGCTTTCATTGTTAACTTGACAACGGAACCAGTATAATCCTATACAAAGTTATTGTAGAAACTATGGCGAAATGGTGGAAACAAAAAGTATTCAAACTATTGTGAGCATATTTTTATATTTTAAACAATTTTAAAGCGTATATTGTAATGTGGAGGTGCACAAAATCAGATTGGTAGGCAAAGAAATCGTAGGAATAATTTTTAATTGTTAGTTTTAGTATATTTACGCTGATTTTGTGCGATGCGTTGATAAAAGTTGCTGGAAATGGACCGAACTTTTCGATGTTAAATCAAAACCTAATCTAATCTAGTTCAGATTTTTATTGTTTTCAAACTGATGAGCGAATGACGTCCGTCCCAAACAAAAAACAAACGTAGCAACAATTGTTTACTCATTGAAATGTTTAAAAACTCGTCAGTATAGTGAATGATCATTGATATTACTTAAAAATCTCTTTATATGAAATTATTCTGCATATATATTTTAAAATGAATGTTTTTTGAATTTCTTAAGATATATGAATGTGCATTTTGTGAATAATGTGGTGCGTATTAACGGAAACGGCGTGGCTTAATAGCAAATAAGGGAATTGTCTGAAAAAAAACAGAAATATGTGTGCACATAAATTTATACTATACATCATTTTATCTGTCTGTTTAGTTATACTTTATATGATTATTATGTTTATCGTTTGTACATTTTGTAAAAACGCAGAAAGATTTTATCCCCATACTAACATTATTCCTAAGAAATCAAACGAACAGACATTCGAGGCAACAAAAGAATCTTTTTAAACGTAATAACTTATTCCGACGTTATTACAAACACTAAGTTTTTTATGTGATCACAGAGAAACTAGAAAAGAAATGAAAGTGAAACAAATGAAAATTTATATTAAAATGTAAGTTATTCTTAATCTTTGAGATAATTATTATGATGTATGACGCTGATGTTTATTATTATAAAAAATGAAACACATGATTGTTTATTTAAAAAGAAGTGTAACAAATACCCTAGTTATACATTTTTATCAGACTTTATATTAATATTTATTGTTAATTTTACTGGTTTTATCAATGAATTCCTTCCAATGGGGAGAATGATTTGTATTGGTATAGTTTATCATCGCCATAACCATACAGCAGACGTCCGACGCCATTTTCATCATAGTATGGATAACGATATTTCGGTCTAAAACAAAATCAGGAATTAAATCGTATAAACAGACACAATATGAATATAGAAACGATCCAACTTTAGTTCTCTTCACTGTTCAATCATGAATAGAATGAAAATAACAAAAGAAACTTCACAACTGTGAAAATAGTTTTCTATAATCTTAAATTCACACAATTTATAGAATGTAATACAAGAGCAATAACCTTGCACACACACTAATTGTATAATTTACTATTATTGAATCGATTTATTATTCAACTATTATTCAAGCACGTTGCACACATGAGTGATTAATTAATTTTACACACATCAATCATTAACTGACTCAAGATCATCAAATAAGTGCATAGTCATCGAATTAAACAACCATTTTGTTTAAAAGTTTGATTTAAAGTTTAAAAACATTAAAACACCGGTACTGACCTTTCAAAATATTGAAAATTTGGTGCTCGTGGTTGTAATGTTGCTGTTACCATCCATAAACAACTAATTACCTAAAAAACATAGTTTAATATGATTTATTCTTTAATAAGTTTCATATTATTGCTTGTGGGTACTTACAAGAAGCAAAACAAACTGCAGTTTAGCCATTTTGAAAAAATCCAATAGTTTTATATCACTTTGTAACTTGTAACACTTTAAACGCGCGACGCTTCACTTTACTTCTCTTCAGAGTAAAAAAACTAACTGTTCTTTACGGCAACTTGATTCGAGCGCTTTCAACTGTTTCAAGAACAACACAATCTATGAATAATGTAATACAATAACAATTCAGGTAGTTGTTATTAAGTTATTACATTTGTTCAGTACTGGTTGAGCTCTTCTGCTTGCGTGCAATGATAAATAATTTCTAAACGATTGCGATTTGTGGATTTCGGAAATGCGTGCGAACGCGCGTGCAGGTTTATACTGGTTGGTGAGTCGCGCAGGTAACACGAAGAGCTGCAGGAGCGCGAAGGTGAAGTGAAGTAAGCGACCGGGCAAGGCGCAGTGAAACTTACCTAATACAGAAGAGAAAGTGTTTCCATTACCACTGGAAGTTTGCTTGTTTGCTCGCGCAACTTGTATATTCCACGGTTTCATTGCATGAATCGCAAGAATCGCAGAATGCAAAAGTCGCCAAGTACGAGTACTCTACCTACCGCAAGACCTTGTAAACGCACAAAGAATTAATTGAATGTTTCTTGTGCGTGAAACTGTAAACTCAGCAAGCGAAAAGGGAATTTAATTCAGAAATTTATTTAGTATAGGTCTACAACAATAAATTTTGGAAAATTTCACCTGTCACATCCATATTAATGTTGTATATTTGTTTACATTTAACAATTACTTAAATTACTTTGAAAATATTTGTGTTAAAAGCAAATAATTTCATTAAACATAATTGTAGGCTTGTTTAAATTGTGATGTGCTGAATGTCACGTTAGCACACAACAAAAAAAAAATGAGTGAAATTAAATACCGGTTAACATTACCAGAATTTATTCACTTCCAAGCGCATGCCGGAAATTTTAATTTTAATGTCATGCCATTTCACTTCGAATGTGACTCGTCGATTACATAATTGTCTCACAACATTCTTTCTATTACACTTACACCTCTGGCCAAATGTCTGACACACTTCTCCCTTCAAACGTATACTTAGTATACTTACTCTTAATTTTTTGACGCTTCTAGAACACGTAATCGATACATTGATAGTCATAACGCACGCAACACACAAATCATTAAAAATTTTATATCAAAATCAATCAATTACGTAAAATTGCGTTTTATTATCAGTAAGTATCACAATTTCTTGATAATTTCACTTACGTAACTTTTAATAGTGTATAATTAATAAAAATTACAGTTAATTGGAATGTTTAAGTGATTTGAACACGTTTAAATACTCAATAATATTTAAATACTCTAGTAATTCATTATTTCTAATAACTATGGCCCAAAAGTTGTAAATCTCGTTGTTTTTGTTGAATTCGTCTCTCTTGTTCAAAACCATCAACACCGAGGCCTAATCTTTCGATTGCTTTTTCACCAAAGCGGCCATTAAGCTCCTGATATTGTCTAGAACGTCTTGGTCCTTCATCTGGATCAAAAGTCCATTCTTGTTTTTTATGTAGGACTGGTATACCAAACACGTTGTACTGCAATAAGTCCTTTACAAAGTTTATAGCGCAGGATCCATAAGCCACGAAGGATAATAAAAATAATATCTACAAATACATAATTACATTATTTTATTATTATTTAAAGTAATAATCGTTGACTTACATGTAATATCTTCATTTTTCCTGGTTTCAAATTAGCAAAATTTTTCTGTTGTTGTCTTTATTGTCTTTCGCTAATGCAACTCACGTAATAACGCACGTAATCGAAAGTATTTGCGAGTACGTTGAACGAATGTGTGCGCCACGCACGGCACGAACAAACTAAACCAGCAGACGCATGCCGCACAAGCCGAGTTGCAAACGTCAACTCTTGCATAAATTTGTGGAGGACGCGGAGCGAAACGCGAATTCTACGCGAAGAAGAGTGAAAGTAAACAACCGTTAACAAGAAGCGCTCGAGACGCACGTAATAATATTATGATGACAAAGTAAACGCCAAAAATTATATTTGCATGAAATGGTACCAAAGTTTTGAGAAAAAAATGTCCCCACTCAATTTAATTCACATTCCGCTACTAGAACTTCTCTTAAGTATTCAACAAACAATTAAAATCATTTTTGCCCTCTTTTGGTATACATTGAGTATATCTAAATACGCCATTTTGTAATATTTGATTATGATCATTGTAATATTGGTTGTATACAATTCAATACTACATGACTAATATGCACTAAATTTAAACTTTTAAGCAAATATTGTCGGCTCGTCCATCCTTTGTCATTGATATCACAGTTATCACTACGTTCCCACAAAGTCACCTCGAACAACATCCGTGTTGGTCTTTGTCTACGCTGCCGAATTTGTCTGTTATCACGCAGTTTTCGTCGGGCGGTCGCAGTGTTAACAGCCGACAAATTTTACCGTTTTCATTCTTGTCCACGTGCCGTCCTCCGATCATCATCACGCCATAAATCTTCGATCATCTCCGCGAGGACGCCGTGTTTTAAATTTATTTTAAATGTTACGTTAATTTAAGGTAACTCTACTTATTCCCGTGGAAATATTTCTGTAACTAATCGATTATTTATAGTTTTTAAATATGTATTATCGTCACGTGTTGCTCGTCTTGTGCTGGACGAGCTGTGCGTTTGCCTTCTTGGACTCGCTCTTCTTGCAACTGGATGCTAGTTGCACTCAATTGGGGAGTGATGTCTTCGCCTGCAGGAACAGCAAGTGTGTACCACGCGAAAAACGCTGTGACGGACATGCGGACTGTTTGGACTCCTCCGATGAGGAAGATTGCGGTAAGATAATAATCATATCAAACGTGTATATGAAAAATAATAATTTGGTGGTTGTATTGTTTTTACAGAGGTTTTTTTTTGCCGGGAACCGCACTACTTCCGGTGTGCCAATAACAAATGTGTGTCTGCAACGTTCCGCTGTGATAAAGAGAACGACTGTGGAGATTTCAGTGATGAAGCTGATTGTACTGATTTTAAGGTATATTAAGTTTAAAAGATTGGAATAGTTTCTAATTTCGTGTGTTTAAAGTATACTTTAGCACATCCTGCAAATTGCTCATCGGAAGAATGGCAATGTGTGGACCACCTCTGCATTCCAAAAGATTTCGTCTGTAACGGTGAGAATGACTGTCTTGATGGTACCGATGAAACCCTCGGATGCACGCTGAACATGGAATGCGATGGTTTCAAATGTCACAATGGTCATTGCTTACCGCTGGAGTGGCGTTGCGATGGTCTCGCTGATTGCCAGGACAAATCTGATGAACTTGATTGCGGTACGTAACTTTTATTAAAATTGTATTAAAAACATTAAAACATTAAATTTATTATTTGAATGTTGCAGATTCTCATGTACAACCTAAAGATTGCACACTAGAAAATCAAAAGTTCCTCTGTTCGGACAACCGTACCTGCATTGACCTGAAAAACGCCTGTGACGGCAGTTACCAGTGTCCCGACAAATCCGATGAAGCCAACTCATGTTCCACTCGCAAAGGCTGTTCTACAAAACACTGCAGCCACACCTGTGTGGATTTACCCACAGGAGCAACCTGTACGTGCCCTACAGGATACCGCCGTATAAACGACGCCGACTGCCGTGATATCAACGAATGTGAAGAGTATGGAATCTGCGACCAGAAATGCCACAACACTCCAGGGTCCTACGAATGTCTCTGTGATCCCAGATATCTTCTACAGAGTGATAAACATACCTGTAAAGTAGTTGGAGGAGAAGCATTGATGATGTTCAGCACAAAGACTGAGATTCGCGGATATTTTCTGCAATCTGAACTATTGTTTCCTGTCGCACAGAACCTGAAACAAGTAGTGGGGGTTAACTTTGATGGTCACCACGTGTACTGGACGGATATTCATGTGGAGCATGAAAGTTTAGTAAGATCATTGGAAGATGGCAGTGAAAGGGAATTATTGGTCACTGCAGGGTTAGGTGCCCCGGAAGATTTAGCTGTGGATTGGATCACTGGAAATATCTACTTTACCGATTCCGAGATGCAACATCTTGGGGTGTGTACTAATGACGGTTCAGTTTGTACAGTCTTAGTCAATAAGGATATTGATAAACCTCGTGCTATTGCTCTGCATCCATCTGATGGTAAGATGTTTTGGTCTGATTGGGGAAAGAAACCAGAAATTGCCAAAAGTAACATGGACGGGACCGAAGATTATTCATTCGTTTCCAATGATATCCATTGGCCTAATGGTCTAGCAATTGATTACCCGAATGAAAGATTATATTGGACTGACGGGAAGTTGATGACATTGGAAAGCATCAGATTGGATGGAACTGATCGAAGGATGATACTGGAAGGAATTGTTAAACACCCATATGCAATCTCTGTCTTTGAAAACAGATTGTATTGGTCCGACTGGGCAACCTACTCAATCCAATCCTGTGATAAGTTCACTGGCAAAAACCACACAACTCTAGTCAAAGAAAAACGCGAGTATATTTATGGTCTGCATGTGTTCCATTCTGCTCTGAAACCCCAAATGGTTAACCCGTGTAAGAATTCTATGTGCAGTGACATTTGTATGATTAGTGGAGCTAACCGCTACTCCTGTGCTTGTCCACTTCACAAAACACTCTCCCCGGATCAACACACCTGCAAGGAAGTTACCAAACGTCCCTTGGTGGCCGTGGCAGCTAAAGATGTCCTGGTCCAAATAGAACATACCGACCTTGGTAAACAAAGTATTGTTGCCCTACCCACGGTAGCTAAGGAAATTGGTGCCTTGGCCTACGATCCAAGCAACCACAGTCTGTTTATCTCGGACATCGGTAATGTAAAACGTATTATCACAGTCAACTTGAACACTGGAATGTCACAACCTTTGTTGAGCGACAACTTGGGTGAAGTCAACGCGATGAGCTTTGATTACCTCGGGAATAATTTATATTGGTCTGATTTTGACAGAAAAAGCGTGGAAATCTTAAGTATTACCACTATGAGTCGCAAAGTTATTCTGCACGACTTAGGAGGTGAGATACCAATGTCCATCGCGTTGATTCCAGAAGAAGGAGCGTTGTTTGTTGCGTTGATCAAAGATAAAGTACATATTGACAGAATGAACATGGACGGGACAATGAGGAGTCATGTAATTGAATCTGGTTTGATGGGACCCATTGCATTGCATTACGATGGCCTCCTAGATAGGATCATTTTCGCTGATGCTGGCACCGGACATATCGAAAGTACCAGTGCTCAGGGGGATGACCGACATGGTTTTAAAGCACTGCGGACCACTCCTGTGAGTGTTACAAGTTTGAGGGATGAAATATTTTGGACTAATCAAAGATCAAAGTAAGTTTTTTATTCTCTAACCTTTAAAACGGTTTTAAAATGTTGTAATATTGTTTAGGCGAATCTATTGGTCAAAATCCACTGGAAACCTCAACAATAACAAGAAGATTACTCTGGATCTGCCGGAAGGTATTGATGTAATTCATCTTGCTGCAATCACTCCTTTCAAAGTCCCACCACATGCGTGCCGTGTAAACAATGCGAATTGTAGCCACATTTGCATTCCGAAGATGAAGGCATTTGAATGTGCCTGTCCGGTTGGTATGGCTCTTAATCCAAGAGACAACTCTACTTGTATCAAGAAGACTGTTTGCACCTCTGATGAATTCTATTGCGGCAGTTCAGACGTCTGTATTCCCAAAGCTTTCAAGTGCAACGGAAGAAAAGATTGCCTGCTTGGCGAAGATGAAGAGCAGTGCAAAATAGAAAGTCACTGTCCAAGAGGATATTTCCAATGCAACAATGACGGCAAATGCATTAGAGAGGCGTTGGTGTGCGATCTTCATTTCGACTGCACTGATAAATCCGATGAGAGAGATTGTAGAGATGCTCGTGGGGGACCGGAATGTGATGGTCATCGTTGCAGCGATGGTAATTGCATTGATGAGAGATTCGTGTGTGATGGAGAAATTGACTGTGTTGATGGTGACGATGAACAACAATGTCAAAGCAGTACTTGTGCTGCGAATCAATTTCGATGTGCTTCCGGAGCGTGTATTCCGAAGAACTGGGAGTGTGATCATGAGTACGATTGCGCGGATATGTCGGATGAACATGCAGCATGCAGTAAGTATTAAAATATTTCATTTCTGATGCAGTTTTAAAGTGATGTTTCTAAATAGAACCGAAAGCATGTGCAACCAATCAATTCACCTGCGTCAATGGAATCTGCATCGATAAATCTTTGAAGTGCAACGAAATCGATGATTGTGGTGATTATTCTGATGAACTCCATTGTTTGGACGATTCAGTTCAAGATGGCTGCCGACCCAATGAGTTTCAATGTACCAGCGACACGTCCATGTGCATACCTGAGACTGCCAAATGTAATGGAACTTCTGAATGTCCCCATCACGAAGATGAAGCTGGATGTTCCGATTGTCATGTGGATGAGTTTGAATGCAGCAATAAGAAATGCGTGCCACGCATGTGGATTTGTGACAATCACGATGATTGTGGTGACAATTCCGACGAGAGTATCTGCAACATGACCAGTAATGCAATTTCGCAGAAGTTGATTCCATGCGATGATGGATTCCGGTGTAAATCAGGTGCTTGTATCGACTTCAGACTAGTATGCAATGGTGACGAAGACTGTCACGATGGTAGCGATGAGAATGGCGCATGTCAAACGTCTTGCAAATCGCACACAAGCAATCCTTGTGATCAGAAATGTCAACCGACACCGAATGGACCAATGTGCGGTTGTAACCCAGGATTCATCCTCGCTGGTGATGGACAGACATGTAAAGATGCTCTGGAATGTAGTCGAGAACCACCAATTTGCAGTCAACTTTGTAAAGAACAAATCGGAAGCTACAGCTGCAGTTGTTACGATGGGTACGTCATTCGAGCGGACAAAACTTCTTGTAAAAGCACCGGTGAAACATTATCAATGCTCTTTGCTGTCAACAATGAGATTCGACAATTGAAACAAGCAGAAAATTCAATTTCCGTATTGCATCATGAGGACACACCAAAGATTTCCGGTTTGGATGTCAGTATTGCTGATAATTATGCTTATTTCAGCATTGAGGAATCCGGAACTATTCATAGATTGAATTTGGTAAAAGAGCCATCAAAGAAACGTCAGTATATCTCTGACCTTGGACGTCCTCAGAAATTAGCCGTAGATTGGGTAACCAAGAACATCTATTTTGTTGAAGCTGAAACTGCTATGAAGAGTATTCAAGTCTGCAACTTTGATCAAGAACGTTGTGCGAAGATTATTGACACTGATCCACACAGTCAAGTATCCGCACTTGCTGTAGATGCAAACAACAAATACATCTTCTATGCTGTTACAACATGGTGGATTTTCAACAACCCGCAGAGTGTCATCTATAAAGCCAACATGGACGGTAAGAATATCCACGAATTGGTAAAAACAACTTCCGGTTATGTCACTGGGCTCGCTGTGGATTACAACAGGAAGGTACTCTACTACGCCGATCAACATTTGAATACAATTTCACGAGTAAACTACGATGGTGATGATAAAACTCTTATTATTACGAATGTAACCAAACCGAATGGATTGAGCTTGTTTGAAGATCATCTCTATTTTATGAGTCCGTATGGTTACATGGGTAAATGTAATTTATTTGGATTGCAAAGAACTTGCTCCGTGTTTAGATTAAATGCATATGCAAGCGAATTTCTATCTCTGGTGCAAATATCTAGGCAACCCAATGCCACCAACGCCTGTGTGGGACATTCTTGCCGCCATATTTGTGTACCACACGATTTTGGAGCTACCTGCTTGTGTGAGAATGGTAAAACTGTACAAGAGAATGAACAATGTGAGGAATCGGGACGTTCAGCTTCGTCTGCGACGGATAAGAGGCCTAGATTCCAAGCTCATCCCAGCGAGGAAGACACAACTTCATCAGGGGCCGTTATCTTCGGTATTCTAATTCCAATTTTGGTTGTTATGATTGCTTTCGGAATATTTTATGTAATCAAAAAGAGGCATACTGGCAAATTTAATGTTAGGTAAGAAATTTCACTTTTATGCAGATTTTGATGTTAAAATTCGGTATTTAATTTGTTCGTTTTGTTTCAGTATGAGGTTCCATAATCCAATTTATGGAATTCAACAAGAGGAAGAGCGGCAAGACCATGCCGTGCTGTTAAATCCCGGGGAGCACGAATACTGTAATCCTGTCGAAGTGTTCAACAAAACCAACAACCGGCGTCGCAGCGAAGATTCGCTCATGAAACTAAACGATTAACGTTTGTAAGAATTTAATACTTGTGTGCACATAATTTGCACATACACCGAAAGAAAATGGCGCATTGTCAAAAAGCCAAAGTTTCGCGGTACTTGTTATTTATTGTTGTATAATGTTACTGTTATTTTTCACAGATAAATAGTATTTAACTAAGATGTGCATTAATGGCGTTTAAATATAATTGTAACTGCAATTAATGGTTATTTTAAAAGAATAAATTTTTCGAATTTAATACTTTGTGTTTTATCTTTTCATGTAAATAAATAAAAGTATTATTTTATGATGCAATATGTTTCGCTGAATCAACATTTGCTAACCATTAAAAGAACAGAAAATTATTAAATATTTACCTGGTATATTCAGCCATCAATAAAATTCATTGAACACTACACAGGAATTCCAGTTTTGAATCTGTTCGAATCAGTGTGGTATTCTATTCTAGGGGATTTCGTTGAGGTTGGTGTGTCATTTGGAATGCTTTCCAAAACGACCGTTAAATCCGTTACTCGCTACAACTGATTCGCGTGCTGTCCGTGTCGTTTGCCGCCTGTTTTCCTTATTATTTACAAAACCGGGCCACAATTTTAATCAGCCATTGAAAATGGCACGCACAAAAGCACCTAAGAAGAAACTCGCGGCAAATTCAGCTGCACTTGAGCTCTTGAAAGAAGCACTACATCAAAGTAAGTAAAAATGCATCCTACAAAGCTGAAATGTCAACTAATTTGTTTCCATCCAATGTTTAATTGTACATAATTCTATATTACAGAAGAAAGAGAAGTGAAGCAACTGACTGCCTTAGGAGAATCATTTCATGACATAATTGAAAATAAAATTGATTTCATAATGTTTTATTTACCACATCCAGAGAAACCATTTAAAGAATTAAAGGTATGCTACATAACAAATTTTGTCTGAGAATTATATGTAATATAAATTTGGTCATTTTCTCTGTAGCTTATGACAAATTCTACTATAATGAAGACAACCTGTGATAATATTGAAAGTTCAGTCAGTTATTCAACCAAGAAAAGTGTGTCTGCAAAGAAGAAAAGGAGTCTATCTTGTGCCCCAGATGATGATGGTAAGTTTAACATCATGAATTTTTCAGTATCATGATCATATGTCAATTATTGTTTATCATGGTGTTGTGCAAAAAAAAAACTAACAGTATTTCATTTTCATCGACTAATTTGGGGCCTTTTGTATGCACGAACATTCAGGTTATATTACAGGGGACAGTGCGTCAAGCCGCACCACTCGCACATCTCGCGCTCGTTCGAGGGCTCCACTGGCTAACAGTACCGCGCGAGTATCGAGATCATTATCCCGTACAGCGAGCCAGCAATTGCCGAAATTAAACACAAAAAATAAGGGATTCCAAACGCCTGCGGGAAAACAGCCGAATAATGCTTATGGAATGGTCACACCAAAGGTATATTATAAATACTTTGTGCACTGGTGCCAGAATTGTTTATTTTATGGTTTATTTTTATTCAGATGCAACCAAATGCACCACAATTAATCCTGAGACGTCCGAAGCACGGCGAAATGGCAATCTCGATGGAAGGCAGTCCCCTTATGGTCAACCCAGTGGCCACGGATCACATTGCCAACGTGAATATCCCCCTAGGCGAAGGCAGACTTCTCAGCTTGCAACCAGAGCGTGGCCTGCGAGTGTCCATGGTGCCAAATCTCGACCCCGAAACTCAGGCACAATTGCTGACGCTCAGCGCGCACATTCAACAGATTTGCGCTGCCTCAAAGCGGGTGTAGAGCGTTATGCATGGTACTCGTTGTATATTTATTACCTGAAGAGACTCTTTCATTGCAATGGGTTGATTTTTTATAAGTTTAGTATTATAACTCTACAATTTTTATATACTTACATGTATTAGCTATACATTAGTGATTATTAGATATCTCAATTTTTTACACAATTTTTATATGTTCGATATTGAAATAAAGTTCGTTTTGATACAATTTTGAGTGTAGTCGATTTGAATTGTCGGTTGTTCTGATCTACTGGTTGCCTACTATTTGATGCTGCGCATGCGCTAATATTTCCCGCGAATAATAAGAAACGTAGCAAGTGGGCAACACGTCGGTGCTGAGTACACGATTTTTATTAATTTTAACTTAAACTTAGTGAATATGACTGAATTTTTAAAAAGTTAAACGTATAGTTACTGTGTCAGCTTTATTGTGTTGGTTTCTGCAGTGCAGTTTGTACAAAAATAAATATTGTTTATATTATAACCTTTTAATATCAACTACTTCAACTACATCTTGGAAAGTTAATGAAAAATGCAAGAATCTGAAGAAACTATGATGCATAATCCAGTGGACGATGGTCAAGAATGTGATGAAGAATCAACAAGTGACACACAAAAATCTTCCCAACCAGATGTGCCTTCAGATGCTCCAGACTCACCTATTGATGACACTACAAGTAAGTAATTGATTGACTCAGTAATAACTTTCTATAACAATCTATTTTTAAATATTTTTAATAGATATAGTTGCACTTTCAATCAAGAAGACAAAGAAAAGAATAATCATGGATAGTGACAGTGAGAATGAAGATGATAATAATACTGATAGGAATAGTGAAGTTGATGAAAACATACAATCACAACCAACATTGCTTAATAATAGTGACCAAGAAGAGGAATTACCAACAGATGAGAATCCAAAGAAGAAAACTTTTAAATTAATTGATACAGACAGTGAACCAGAAGCAGACAATGAAGATAATGAGCAAGAAACTCTGCAAGCACCTATTTATACAGTCAATGATAAGAAAGAATTAGTTCCAGAAAGAAATATTGTAAGTTATTATTGCAAACTATTATGTAATTAGTTATTTATTATATTTTTCTTAGGCTGATGGTTTAGCAGCTCTCTGTGATCCTGAATCCTCTGATGATGAAAGGCAGATACAACCATTGGCATACAAGAAAACCAAAGAAAAAGGTGAAGAGCCGGAGGAAAAGCGAATGACCGCCAAGGAAGCAGCCGAGCAACGCAAAGAAATCGAATCGGTATCACAGCGAATGTTGCGAGAATCGCATGTTTCTCTGCCGTATCACAAACCGAAGCAACGAAGTCTTAGAGAATTCTTGCAGAATCGACCTAAGTTTGCAAGTTCGGTTCCTTCTGATATTTCAAAAGTTCCGGCGGCGGTGGCTATAAAAATGAGCCGGGAACAGCTTGATTTTGTTAGTAAGAAAATACAAGAACGCGAAAAGCAAGTAGCAGAATTTTATAAATCTGAAAGTGAAGAAGAGGAAGAAGAATCACAACCAACAAATTCTGAAAACACTGAGACTGTTATTGAGAATTTAGAAGTTATTGAGGATAACGGAGATAACGTACAAAAGGAAACTGAAACTGTTGATGCATCAGAAACACTAGAGCCGATTTCTACCAACCAATCTGAAGAAACAAACACAGATGCAAATCAAATGGATGTCGTCATGGAAAGTAACGAACTTGCTGATAAACCTATAGAGACAGTAGAAGTTGAAACTGAGGAAAATATGGAGACAGAACTAGATGATGCAAATAAAACTAATGAAAGTGCAGCAATTGACAAGGACGCCTCTGTGGAACTGCAATTTAATATTTCTGATTTAGATGGGGGCGAAACTGATGCAGTAAATGATATTGTTCCAACGGATGAAATTAATCCTACCAAAAAGTCAGCATTACAGCTCTTAAAAGATCAACTCGGAGATACACAACCGAAACTTAGCGGTGCGCCAAATTATGTAATAGATTTAGAAGAAGGCACAACTCGCCTCGACGAAGTGTCGCAGCTTATGCAACGATTTGTTAAACATACAACCAAGAAACCCGTACACAAGAAAGCATCTGCAGTTGAGTTAGATATAATGTGTGTTTCTCAAGGCGGTGAGATTCATAAAGAAAAAGTAGCTATGAAGATAGAAGACCATGAGGAACCTGCTATTGAAGAAAAGCCAGGTGTAAAATATCAAAAGCTGCGAAACGATCTTCAAACTCAAATGGCGCAACGTCGTAATGAGGTGTGGAAGGAAAAGCAAGCTAGATTACAAGCCGAAAAGGAAGCAAATGCTGATGATGATGATGTGTATAAGGATGAACGGGAGGATTGTGGAATTGATGATATTTTAGATGATGAGGAAGAGGAATTTTCGAATGCTGGTTCAGATGAAGAGGATGAAGAAGATGATGTAGATGGTGAAGAAGAGGACGAAATTGAAGGAAATGCAGGCGGTATGTTGGCAAATGAAGCTTCAGAGGATGATGATGAAACTGAAGATGTAGATGATGAAGAAGCAGAAGAAGAAGAGACGAAAAAAGTTGTGAAACAACATCGGCGCATTGTACAACCAGCAGACTCTGATTCTGATGATGAAGAAATTGTTAAACCTACTGAGAAGAATATGGATTCGACTATTTCGTGGCCTGATGATGATGATTTGATATCTGCTGGACAGACCAATTCATGCCGCACTCCTAATAAACAATCCTGCATGCAAACCAAGTCTGAATTAGGTTTCCTTTCGCCTGTTTGTCGCTTAACGGGCCTTCAAAGTTTTGATGCAACGGGTAAATTTCTGCAAAATTCTCCAGGTTCACCTGCGATTAAACTGAGTGAACCTTCACCTTGTAAAAGTCCCACAAGATTTTCGAAGTCGCTTTTCTCCGAGTCGCCCATGAAAAACACTCAAACACAGAATTTAGAGGAATTGTGTTCCGGTGCGTTTCCCACTCAACCTACCACCATTAATGACACTGATGCCCAACCTGATGCAAGCACTCAAGATATGTTAGAACTTTGTTCAGGTAATTTTGGTTTTACTCAAGAAGAAACACCGCAATTAAAAAGTAAGACACCAGAGAAGCAAGAAGTACCAAAACAGTTCAGGAAGATTTAACTGAAAAAGAAAAAGTTGTTGATATTGAAAAGAATACAGCTGAAGAGCTTCCAATTGATGATGATGAAAACGATTTGATATCGCAATTAATAGATGAAGACGAACTGGCGACTTTTAAGAAAAAGTTTGAGTCACCATTGCAAAGTGCCTATTCTGCACCTGATGCCGATGAGAGGATAGCTCAAAAGATTGCATTCAATGCGATAAATGAGGCTGATTCTGAAGACAACTCCGATGAAGACGATGAAATTAACATGACAGTCAAGCGTAAAAAGAATACGATTATGGATTCAGACGATGAAGAAGTTGCTAAAGATGATTTGGAGGAACAGATAGATTTGCATGATGGGGATGATGATGATGTTAATGATGAAAGCAATGACGAAGTTGATAATCCTAATGAAACTGAACTTGGGTATGATTCCGAAGAAAATGAAATTTTAGTAGAGAAAACTCAGAAATCCAAGAAATTTAATCTAAAAGACTTTACTGAGCATGAAGCCGAGTTGTCAGAGTCTGAGTGGGGCAGTGACGATGAAGATGAACGACATTTAGATGTTATGGAATTGGAAGAAGGCGACAAGGAGCAGTTTGATGAAACAGAGTTGCGCAACGACTTGGAGAAAATACACATGCGGCGTATCTTGGACGAAGACAAGAAGGACTTAAAGGTGTTGCAGGAGTTGTACATGGATGAGGATGAAGAGTTGAAGGGCGCTGGAAGGCAGAGGCAATTCAGATGGCGAAATATTGGTAAATAATAAAATTTAATTTGGAAGAATAAGCACTATTAACGTTTAACTATTCATTTTTAATAGATAATGTTGATAATGACGAATCGACCGCTCAAGATCTTGAATCTTCAATAACAAATGAAGAAGAATGTGAAAACGAGGAGGAATGGAGGAAGAAACGTTACGAACGTGAATTGTTCCTTCAATCCGTGAGTTTATATTAGTTTGTAACACGTAAGTATGTGTGTTTTAAATTATGTATTTTGTAATAGCAAAAAACAAAATGGCGACGAAGAGGATGATGACGCTACCGTGCCATTAATAGCTGCCAAGAGCCAATTGTTCAAGTTGGGCCAACGTGCCGTCATCAACAACAAGCGGAATTTGAGTAAAGCAACTCAACCAGTTCAAATTAAGCAAACATATGTATCGAAAGTATGTTATTCTATAACCCTTCCGATTTTGTTATTAATATTTAATCTTTTCCATTGTCACACATTCAGACACAACGCGGTTCTTTCCTTTCACGAAATGATGAAGTTCTTACAAGAGTTGCGGAATATACAAAAGTAAGCGAGGTTTTGATAGGTGCCCCGAAAACTCCCGGAACTTTGTATTTCACGCCAAGACCACTGAAACTAGTACATCAACGAGTATTGAGGTGAAAGCAAATATTAATTACTCGTTATTTTTATATTGTGGTGATGTGTATTTTATAGGACAAGAAAAGAAAGGCTGGCGAAATGGGAACACCAGCACAGTTGAAACGTTTGAGACTGAACGGATTTAGTCCTGCTGATCAGAAGAAGAAGGCCGAATCCAGAACGAAAGCAAGACTATTTTGTAATAAGAATAGTAATCAATGGTAGGCGTTGGCTTGCCAACGGATTATTTTAAACTGCTAAGACTAGTTTTATGTGATTTTTTTTATTTATTACTAAGCAAATCTCTGAATTGAATATATTAAAATATGAAATTTAAATATTAAGTTTGTTCAGGTAATATTTAAAACTTTCACGTGATATCTCACGATAGTGAGATAGGGGGAAGTTTGAGACAACATTAGGTTGTTTATAAATTTATTTAAAGTAACATTAACATTTCTCTTCCCTGATAGTCAGTAATTTAAGGTTTGATTTGCACTTTTGAAATGCTTGGTAGGAATAAAAAACGTAATAAAAGCGCAACAAGTGTGCGGTGTACGGCTCAGCGCTTGCCGCCCCCATCATAGCACATAGCAACAGGCGTTACGAATAATTCCTGCGATCTTTTCCTGCAAACAGCAGAACAATAAAATTAAATCGCTTGGAAATCAATTCGCAGC